GGGAGGGGGGGGGGGTCGTGGAGACCGTGATTAAGGTGGAGGGAAGAAGAGGGCCGGGCCGAGCTGGCCGCTGGCGCCGGGCACCCTTGCGGGGATCGGCCTGGTCGGAAGGGAGGGCGCCCCGGAAGCTGCTCGTGGAGGAGGGCCGCGACTCGGGCGTCGGAGCCGAGCAGCCGCGGGGACCTCTCGCTCTCTTAAGAGACGGCTTGCGCTTCCCGCCGGCTGAATGCCCCTCCCCGCGAGCCCTCCGGCTCTCATTAAAAACAACACTCGCTTTAGTTTAAAAGAGACCCCCACACACACGGCTCTTGGCTGGGCAGTGAGGAGAGAAATAGCCAAGACTCCCGTGACGCCTTCAAGACTAACGAGTTTTACTTGGGGTGTGGGGGGGAAGTTTTCGTATCAGCCCACTTTTTCGGAGGTACAGAGAGCCCCTGATGGGGTGATGGCAGTGTCTCTTGGGCGTGTGTACTGTAGGTGTATGCGATGCACTGTGTGGAATTTGGAGTCCGGGTGAAGAGAGAGAGAGAGAGTGGTCTTTCAAGTCGGAAAGTTATGGGTCCAAACAGACTGAAATTACATATCTCTCTTTTGAAAAAGCAAGCACTAAAAAAAAACATATTTGAAGAGGTCAAAATAGGGTAGGGACCAGATATTAGGCTGGTGTGTGTCAAAGTTGGGTACTAGTTGATAGGGTCATGTTTTTTTTCTGTATTCTCCTCCCTCAGTAGCTTATACAGTGGAGGTATTTGTATCCCACTAATTTGACCAAACTCTGGGAGGCAGTGGAAGACAGGAGGGTTTGGCATGCTCTGGTCCATGGGGTCACGAAGAGTCGGACAGGACTAAACAACAACAATGGTTTAGATCAGTGGTTCTTAATCTTGGGTTACTCAGATGTTTTTGGACTGCAACTCCCAGAAGCCTTCTCCACCAGCTGTGCTGGCTGGGGTTTCTGGGAGCTGCAGTTCAAAAACACCTGAGTAACCAAGGTTAAGAACCACTGGTTTAGATGAAAAGGGCTAACTGAGTCAATGTTCCAACTTTTGTGTTACTTACTTACTGTGCAGTCAACAGCTGAAAAAATTGCCATATTTACACATTTTTCTTAACTGATATGTATACTAGGTGCCTGTTTTAACAGTTTAAACAGAGCAGTTTGCAACTTCATAGAAGCTTAATACTGTCCCAGAGTATAATGTCCAACTCATTGGTCAGATAAATGTCTTCTGCTCCACAAAATCTACATATATTGGTATGGTAATTGTGAAACATTATTTAAATATTTCAGGGCACTAACACTTACTTGGTATCCAACCACCTAATTTTTGTTCAGATGCAGCATTAATTACTAGTTCCTGGACCAGAAATAGATCCTTATGACATGGAAAATACCCTGTTTCCCCAAAAATAAGACCTAACCTGAAAATAAACCGTAGTGTGATTTTTCGGGATGCTCATAATATAAGACCTACCCCAAACATAAGTCCCAGTTAAGTGATACCCCACCCTCCACCATTGTGCAGCAACCAGAAGAAAATGACAAGACTGTATTTGAGTAAATGTAGATTGTTGTACATGAAAAAAAAGCAACTATTCCCTGAAAATAAGCCCTAGTGCGTTTTTGGAGCAAAAATTAACATGAGACCCTGTCGTATTTTCGGGGAAACACAATAAGTATCAGTGCTATTTTGTTGACAACCTAAGCAAGTTTTTCTCAGCCTTGTTGAGACAGATAAAAGTTGTAGCCTAGCATATATAGTAAAGTCTTTAAGTATGCCATGATACACCCGATTTAGATTGTTTGGGGCATATTTAAAATCAGATGTACATACATGGAACAGGGTGGTGGTGGCAGAATCTTAACCAACAGCACAGCTGAAAGAGCCTCTGTGTGCCTACAGCTGTAATGCAGTATGCACTCAGCAAATTTGGAAACCTGTGCAGCCATGATTTCAGATACATAGAAGACCCTTTCAGACTTCTCACTGAATTTGTGGAGATTGGGGTGGGTTTCGTGGCAGTAAGCCCAGCTTTGACTAAGATAGGTGATTTCTTTGTTCCTAGTTGTTTCTTTTCCGTAGAAAATTAGGATTAAACTCAGTTGCCAGTATCGTGTTCAGCAATGAGGACCATAATGCCCCACCAGCATCACATCCCACACAATGTCCAGTGTGTCATTGTGCAAGTCCAGTCTGGTGCATTGAAAAGAAAAGAGCTAATGTTTCCTTAAAGAAGCACTGGTTACCTCTTTGCACAAACTGGGAAAGAGCCAAGCCACTTTTACATGAGGAAAACAAAGAGGATTGTAGATAGTGATGTGGGTTTCCTGGAAAAAGGAGAGCTGAAAAAATGTTATTAAAGTACTCCTGTCCACAATATTTACATTTAGCAAATGTTTTCTTCCTACGGTGTTTTTACTGTAGTAATGCCACATGGTAGTCTCTTTGTATTTTAGCATCATGAGTTAGCTCAAAGCAGCCATAAGCACTAGATGATTAACAAATCTTACGCACACTCTTACAACTCCCTGAGCAGTGAAGAAATGAGGCATTTCTCTAAGGACATTGAAATAAGCATTAATCACAATTCTAGTTTCACTTTTCCATTCAGTTTGCCATCACAGCAGATTAGCAAGAGAGCACAAGTGTACCATGTACAGTGGTGCCTCGCATTATGGCATTAATTCGTTCCAGCGAAATCGCTGTAGAACGAAAATGTCATCATGCAGAATTTAAAAGCCCATAGAAACGCATTAAAACCTGATTAATGCGTTCCTAGGGGCTTGAAACACACCGTCCAGTGAAGATCCTCCATAGCACGGCCATTTTCGCTACCTGTGCAGCGAGGAATCCATCCCAGAAAAGAGCGGGGAGCCATGTTTTTTACCCGGCGGCCATTTTGAAACCGCCAATCAGCTGGCCGAAAATCATCGTTTGCGAGAATTGGTTCCCGAAGCAGGGAACAGATCATCGCAAAGCGAAATTCCCCCATAGGAAACATCGTTTTGCGATCGCTTTTGCGTAAAGCGATTTCGTAATGTAACGATCAACGTAAAGCGATATCGTCGTAAAACGGAGCGCTCATAATGCGAGGCACCACTTTATAAGTTTGCTCCACACCCAATCAGGAGCCAACAACGTTGTTGACAGTAAGAGCTTGTCATCTTTTTTTTTTTTAATTTCCCCATGGGGAGGTGACCCTTAAGGTTTGCCAATGCTTGTCTCTGTAGAAGAATAACTGAAAGACCTTCATATTATGCCCCTCTAACAAGATTGATTGTAATAAGACAACCCACATTTATGGATAAATGTAGAGCTATATGATGTTGACGTTTTTTAACAGAAAAATATAGCAGTGGAAAATTCTTCATCAAGCATTTTTTATTCTGGACAGTATATTTTATACTGTCTAATAGATAGTCATGAATTCAGTTTAAAGAAATTGAATGTATTTGGTTATAATTTTAAACAATATCATTTTAAAAGATTTTCACTATAATTTGTTTTTGCAAGTTATGCATTTTTTTAAAAAATACTGATTTATTCATTCATTTTAAAACTATTTCCATTCCCCTCCATATATCAGACTGTTCACTTTGGGTTTTCTGTTTTGAGGTGTATTCATGTTAGATGCATAAAACTGGTAGTAAATATTGTTATCTGTAAGTCTAATATTTACCATGTTTAGGATTGTATTATTCAGAGAGTGTCACTAACATGCCATGTTTAAAATACTAGTGCCAAACTTAGGATAAAGTTACCATTTCCAATATTATTTATTCACAGAGAAGTTGACCTGTTATCCACAGTTCCCTCTGCCCTTGCTAAAAGATTAATAGGAATTTTAGTTAAGACATCAGGCAACTAAACCACCATTCTTTCAAGGCTGTTTCTCTAATTGCAGCACAATTAGGACAAATATTATTTTTCTGGGATTCAGGTTGTCTCGCTGCTGATTGTCTGAAATTGGAAAAATGTTTACTTCTTACAAAACTTTCCTTTTGTAAAACAAACAGGTCAGACAAACAATGCTATGTGATATTCTGTGCCAGCACTGAAGAAACAGGAGTATGTAAAGTTTGATCCAGAGGCATGGAGATACTCTTCTTTCTACTGAAAAATATGTTGCATGTGGCAAACAGCTCAAAATGTAATCCAGTCTTCAGTATAACATGGTGGAGCTACTGCTGTGCTGTATAATTCCTTGGTTTATCTGCCTATAGGCTGGAAACAGTTACGAAGTTATCGTCCAGTTATCCAAATATCAACATTCTTAGTGTAGAAGGCCTCAACAACTCTAGTCATATCCTTTCAGTATAGAGTTGAATGGGTGTTTTTCTTCAGTTGTTGTTGTTTAATTTTAAACCGTGAAGGGCACATTGTTCATGGCCAGATCCTATTGTCTTACCAGTGTACTGAAATAGTTCTGGCTTTTTTTCTCCCTAGCTCAAAATAGTACAAATTCTGAATGGGAGGGAAAAGTAACAGAATATTTCAGAGAGAAGCTAAAAGAAAATAATGCAACTAACTGGGTAAGATTGTGCTTGCTTATATAAATCTTTCTCCTTTCTTTTTTGCTTTGTATGCCATTTCTCTAGCTCTGGGATGTAGAACTTTTTTGATTCTGAGGGACCGCAGTGCTGTCTGAGGGCATGTTAGGGGTGGGGAAAGTTAAACCCATCTCTTTACACATAGGTCTAAAGATCACTGGGAGCAGGCATGGGAGTGAAGGCCTCTCCCATCTCAAAGCGATATCCACTGAGATGCCATGTTTTCTTGCCGCTGTTATTGCTGGGCCAACTGTGTGAGTATTCTGGTTTCTGAGGCCATGTAGAACAAAGCCAAGCTTGTTTCTAGAAATTTTGCTGCTGCAGAGATGATAACATTGCAGTGTTTTTCACTCCTTTATGACATTTATGACAAATCCTTTCTGTTTCAGAACAGAAGGCCATCTTCATATATGCAGTGTGTCATGAGCTAGGTAGAAATTTTGCTGTGTGGAGTATGGATAGTAGATCTAATTGTCTATAAAATATATTAGATAGAAGCTACGTCCCTTTCGTTTTTGTTCCCACTATGTGGGAGCTTTGCCCCATGCACACCCGGAGGGATGGGGCTTCATCCAAAATTAGAAATAAAGAAACTGGCTGCCTGCTGTGCATGAAGAGCCTCGCAGAGCTCTGTGCATGCATGTGTACCTTAGAGGGAACATTGGATAGAAGTTATCTTATTGCTTTCAATCCCTACACATAGCACAGAATCCTCTTGGGCAGATATGCAGTAAGAGGGCAGTCAGCAGCAGTTCCCTCTGGTGGACTGGTGTTCACATGCCTGGTCTGCTTGAGAAATTGAGCTTGTAACAGTCATGCAAAGGACAGCCCACTGGAGAGAGAAACACTGCATGATTGTCCTTGTGCATGTGGATTTCTACAATAGGAACCTGGTCACTGTCGTGTAAAACATGACATCTTACATTTAGGATAAAAGCATGCTATAAATAGGTGCAAATAAAAAGAGGAACTCATAGGAGTATTAAAAAGTAATATGATTATAAGGATTGCACAGAGACATCAATTTTGATACATTTGTCAACTTATTTGAATGTCCTTTTGTGCTGACTTAAGTAGAATGAGATACCTGTACATTCAAGGAGGCAGCTGTGTTAAGTCAGTCTCATGTCCACAAAATTGAAAGAAAGAGAAAAAGAAAAAAATACAAAATATTGTGGCACTTTCCAGAACCTACAGCTCCAGTTGCAGCAATCAGTGACCTGCAGCCATTCTAGGCAACAGTATCTCCTCCTCTCAGGCTTTTGTGAGAGAAGCAGCCTAAATATGACTATAGAGAACCTCGCAAACTTAAACAAGTGCTGATACAAAACAGGGAACACAACATGGAGTTGCAGACAGGATCAAGACTCTGTGACAAATCTAGATGCCAGTTGTACCCCCATATCTATACCTTCAGCACTATAAATGGTCCCAACTATGTCAACTACAACATTAGGTGTTTGTTTACTTATTCAGCATTCTATTTATTATTCTGCATTCTGCATAGGGCAAACAAAATAATCTCTGTGGAAAAGAATGAATAAACACACGTCTGTGTAAACATGTTCCAGTGCATCTCCAAGAGGCTAAATAGAAATGAAGGCTTCTTAGCACACTACATATATTAATAACTCATCTTTTTATAATGACTTGTAGGTATAAGGTAGTTGCTCCCCTGATAAGCTGTGATCTATGCTGCAGAAATAACTCTTAGTATTTCTGTGAGAGCCAAATCTACTTGGCATTCAGCTGGGTCTGCTACCTCAACTAATATACTGTGTAATAGCTCCTGTGTTAAGAAAGCATTGTCTCTTTGTCTATTATCTGCATTCCTCACTTGGTCATGATTTCTCACCATTCCTGAGATACGTATAAATACTGAAGACATTGATTTGCACTCCTGATATCTGAAGAAGTGGATTTTGAACCACATAAGTTTACACTGAAGTAAAGTGCCACAGCATTTCCCCACCCCACGCAACCCCTTTCCTTTCTTTCTCCCTTTAATTTTATGAATGTGTGCATTCAAGTTCTCCAGTAAGTAAATCCATATCCCAAGTGTGATTACAGAGCTGCTTCACTTGGCCAGATAGCCTGGCAGGTTATCTGGATAATGGGCAGTTAACCTTGGTTATGGAAGCTATATTCAGGAGATGGATTACACTGTATTTATACATTCATTTTGCACATAGTCCTGTTCATGCATCCCCCAAAGAGCATCTTCGTGCCTCCCAAAAGGTTCTAAAATGTTTGGCTCAGAAAGTCTCCTTGTGCTCTTTAGAAAGGTAGGAACAAATTTGCCTAGTTTTGAGCACACACACCCCAGCATCAGTTGGGAATTCCACTCTACAACAAATCTTAATGGTTTTGTGTTTGTTTTTGAGAAAATTTAGGCCACTGGAGAGTTCAAGGTTTTTTGAAGAACTACATTTTTGTAAGAATTTTTGGAAGGATGTGAGGCTTTCAGGAATGACTGCAGTAATCAAGGTGAAGAGTGAGCATGTGTAATCCTGGACCTCTAGAGGTTGCTCACCGTAGTCTAATCTTTAGTGATCCTTGTCCAGTCCAATACATCAGTAGTATGGTTAGTCTCAGTGACTGTCTCAAGAGTCATAGCATTACACAGGTCCACATCTAGCAGCAGACTACTTCGTAAAAGCTGAACCTGTCTGAGAGCACTCTTCAATCTCATGTAGTAATAACTGTGATTCATAACTGATGTATATTTTATTCAAATATATGAACAGAAAGAAGGATTGAAGATTTGGTCACACAGTGGTCTGGATTCTATTAATTATTCACACCAGTGTAAGTGCAGTGTTACAAATCTCAGTTAAAAAGTCACCACTTGTATTTTGCATCATGCAGTTATATGAGCTGGAGCACAATGAGGAATGCAAATAGTCACCGTTTGCCTTTTAAAGTTCTTCCCAATCTCCAATCACTCATCAATTAGTAGCAATTTGCTGCTGCAGTTTATGCCCTTTGCACTTATGCTGGAGTAAATAACCAAATTCCTGCCTATATTTCAGAGAAATTGCCCTTGATGTAAATTGAGATACTAAATCTGAATCATACCTAGTGTAAATTATCTCTCAAACATTCTCATAGTTATCCTTTAATGTTTTTGAATATTTAATCAAATAGTAGTTAGAAATTCTGGTGGTTTTTTTCCACATGAAATAAATAATTACTGAATCTCCTTTCTTTTTTCTATAGGTGCCTTCATTGAATGATGTTCCTTTACATTATCTAAAGCCTAACAGTTTAGTGAAATTCCGCTGTATGGTTCAAGATATGTTTGATCCTGAACTGTATATGAATGTGTATGAAACAATTGACACACATGCTAAAACACGTGTAAGTGGGCATTCTATATTATTGTGCTTATTACCTTCTCTTTCCTACTCATTTAAACATACATATGTTATTAGTGCTGTCACTGCACAGGTGCCTAGATATTTTTGCTTTTCCTCTTATTAACTAGTTGTTATTTGAGGCTGCCATCATTCACAAGCGTTCCGAAGTCCTTGTCCCATTTTTACATGGGACTTTTACAAAAGTAGCACATTACTCTGTTTGTGCAGAATTCTACCTTAAATGAAACTATATCCAATCACTCATCATACCTCTCAAGTCCTCTTGGATGTGTGGAATATCAGCCCCCAATTCATGCTCCTTTGTGTCTGCTTCTGATCAGAGCTAGTGGTACACACTGAATGAGCTAATGAAGTTTTGATTGTAAAATCTTGCTCCTGGAGAAGGCTGTCTGCCAAAACGTATTGAGCATTTTAAAATCAAATTATAAGATCAGCTACATATTTTATACATCTTGGGACTTATCTCTCATTTGCATTTCTCTTACAGCACACTGTGAGGAAAAATGTTGTTCAGTTGACTAAGAAAAAACTCTTACAGCACACTGTGAGGAAAAATGTTCAGTTGACTCAGAAAAAAGCATTCAGAAAAAGGGCAAAATGTTTTGCTACTGTGAGATTAGCCGTCTTTAATGCTTGTTCAGTGGCATTTCTTTTTCTTAGCATCTACTCTGATGACACAGCTCATTTGACAGGAGAGCCTTGCAGTCCTTCTTAATGATATTGAAAAGATGCTGCATGGATCCACAACTCTCACCTATTTATGTCTTTTTTTTATAAATTGGTATGTCTATGGCATTGGTGTGCTTGCCTTAGACTCACTCCTGTCTGACCTGCTTTGTATATTGTAGGGCCATCTATTCTTAGAAGAATGAGGTTAGGACACAAAGCACTAGCTTGTAATGAAGCTGGTATAATTGAAGATGTGTTTTCTTTTTTATATTAATCACATTTTAAAAGTTCTGGCATCTTTCTAGAAATTACTCATTACCTTTTATTTTTATTGTTTTTGTTGTTCTGGGCACAGTCAGTCAAAATTATAATATTGTACCTAATATTGCCTTTTTTGTAACTCTAATAGTGTGATTTCTGAGATCTGCAACTGCTTATAGTACTGTGTGAAATTTCTTGATATTGTTCCCAAAGCCCTGATGACTATGGGAACGCACTAAAGTGTGTTTCATCCACAGGCAAAATGTTTTGATTGCCAGATCTCTGTATTTTGTTAGTTTTTCCAATTCTTTATTTTCAACTGTGGCATCCCCTGGAATTGCAATGTCAATGATATTATTGCTGTTGTTCTTGTTGTTGTTTTTAGGCTATTTTTCTCCTGATAAGGGGCCCAAGGCAGCTCACAGTATTAAAAAGAATAGAATTAAAAACATATGTTAAACATTAAAAAAACAATTAAGACTATACACTTAGTAAAGTACAATTTAATAATTAAGAGCAAGTAAATGTTAGAAATTATCTTATCTTTAAAAAGTCATTCACTCAGGGTCTCAATCATGATGGTTCTTCGGAAAAGATGGTTTTTCAGCTGTTGGCGGAAAGATAAATGGGCCAGAGCCAGCCTGATCTTTCTACCCAATGTGGCTTCCAAACTGACTTAGAATAGATTAGATTTATTAATAATAGGTGAAAAACGTTCATAAGATCCAAACATTCTCCAAAAGCAGTTTTTAAAAATTCTTACAGACCAGAGGGCCTTCAGGACAGTAATCTTGATCACCTGTTGGAAGCTCGAGAGAGAGGAGTTGTACAATCAGGATGGATTTGATTTAAATCACAATTTAAATTTTTAAAAATGGATATATTTAATGGTTTTATTTTTAAAAAATCCTTTTTTATTTAAATTGTGATTTAAATCAATTTTAATTTTGTCCACCCTGTGTGCAGTTGATGTCTGCTGTACCGAAAGCTTACTACAGGTACAGTATGTAATAGGGCCCTTTTTGCAATTTGAAACAGTTAGCATAATGCTGGTACTAACCTTTGTTTTGAGCACAGGTACAGTTGAAGAACATATGTATGCTTGGGAACTGTTCTGTTAATCATAGAAATTGATATGAGCTATTACAATGATTTTGCATTTTCTTCCTTGTAACAGGCTTTGCATTTTGGGAAGTACAGAGATGTAGCAGAATGTGCTGTAAGTGCAAATATTATAAATATAGTACTCAGTTATAAATCAAATTGAACTGTCATTTTTTTGGTTTGTCTTGTGCATTGATTGAATAAGTGCATGGCAGGTTTTCAAAATACAGATATTGTTAATTTTGTTAAATTTAATATGCTCATCCTGTATGTGCCTTTCCCTCATTTCTCATGGAGACTACCATTGGTGGGTCATTCCTTTGAACAGTAACATAAGAAAGTATTTGTCATACCCCTCTCTCATATATTGATGTCAAAACTCCCTTTGTCTTATCATTTAACAGTTTATGTCATTGTCTCTTTAAATCTCTACAAGAATAAATGTATTTTCTTTAATAATCGTAATTTATTTCCTCTCTTCCTGTTTTGCTGCCACCAACCTTTAGTTGTACCAATGTATGTGCATATTTGCTCTTTCACTCAGGCAGTTGTAACACACTCCACATAATCAGTCCTCAGCTATTGAACTCAGCACCATTAAGCTTGAATACAACTAAGAATCTTTTATTAAAATAATAGTGTTAAAAGGATATTGTTTATTCCTAGGGTTTACATTCATTTAGCACAATTGTTCAATTTCTCAATTACTTATCCCCCCCCCCATCTTTCTCTCAGGCAGCTCTGTAATATAGAACCTGTCTTGATCTTCCTGCCAGACTCCACTTTCAGATGCTTCCAAATCTCTCCACATGAGACTGGTTCCCACGCAGTTCCCCTCCTTTTCTAGTTTTCTCCCAGCCTGTGCGAACCATTCTTACCAACATCCCATGTTCCTCATTCACCTTTCTAACACATACTTACCAAACCATATAAACCATATAAACCATTTAAACATAGCTGGGCATCAGGTCATCCTTTAATAAATTGTGCCGGGGCAGAAAGATGGTACCTAATACTTACTCTATAACTAAATATGTATTTGCCAGTACATTAGACACACTTTTTAAATGCATCTAGCATTGAACAACCTTCCATTTTTACATCAAAGGCTTATATATATTCTAGAATACCTCTGTTAGTTTCTTGCCAAAAAGCCCCCCAAAAATGAAACTATTGTGGCATGTGCTTTCACACACATCAGATGTGTGAAGAAGGCTTTTGCCACAATGAATCTGTTAAGTCTTTAAGTTGTTTCTGTGAAGATTCTCACATAGTAGATCTTTAAGTTGTTATTAGACTCTTGTTTCTTTATTAAAATTACTTGAAATCATTTGAGGTTTAATAATTTGTGGGACATGTAACAGAGTGTTGCACTGTGCACTGGTTGTATTTTTTCTGGATATTTTATTTCATTTTTCCTTTTTTGTTTTTCTGTTCTTTCTTTAAAAAGCTATCAGCATTCAGTGAATACTGATTATATGAGTTGTTAGTAAATAGAGATTGAGTGAGTTATGTTTATAGGTGTAATTTGATTACAGTATACTGGAAGTTTAAACTTGCATCCTTATTCCTGTACTAACTCATATTCATATATCTGAGTGATGTGGGCATTGATGACTTAGTGCAGTTATTTTGGAAGGTAATTTCAAACCAGAATTCCAAAATCAGTTTTCTAGTTGCTGTTGTCATATCAGTAAAATGCTAACTAGTTAATCTCAAACTTCAGATGATGCAGCTATTCATGCTGTACACAATTAAATCCTGTATTGTTCTGTTGTATAAACCAGCTGCATATCTTGCTTTATTATTTTAAATGATTACAGAATGGACTGTGTATTTTCTCTGATGAGCCAAAAACAATGGAGTAAACATGGCCCAGAGGAATTAGATATTTAATAGTATTCTGATTTATTATCGGAGGTTTTGGGTAATTTTTAAAGCATTTAACATGTACTGTACATTTTAAATAATTCTAATGTTGTTGAACATTACTCAATCTATTCTAGCCTCATCATGAAATAGACTTAAATCCTAAACAAATAGTCACTGCAGACAGACAGACTTTTTACTGTGTTCCAGTGCCTGGAGAATCAGCATGGGTAAAAGAAATATCCTTTCAGTTTTTTACAATATTGTATATTGATATACAGAAAAAATATGCAGTGTTGTGGGAGGAAAATGCTGAAGATACAAATCCTTGTAATATTTGAAAGAAAAAGTTAGAATTTGTCATACTGATGTGAAAATAAAATCTGAGGTTATTTACTTTTAGATCTCTAAAAATATAATAATTGCTTTTTCTGGATAGTTCTATACAAGTACAGCAGTGATTTTGTGCATTTTAATTTAATTTAATTTCAAATTTTAATATATAATTGGGCTAAAGTATTTTGAAAATTAGGGCTCCCTCTGATATTTTTTCCAAGAATAATGTGATGAAGAGCAGTTTTGAATAAAATTACAGATTTTTGGAATTATTAGGCAAGGCATGCCGGTGGGAAATACGTTCAGTAATTGTTAAGTATCCTGGTGGGGGTTTTGAGGTTTAATATTTTAGACTTCAGATGTTACCTACCCATCCTTTCTTAGAGTTCATTAGATGGCATGGAGGTGTTTATGCAAACAGGTGATACTTCCCTGCTGCAAATAATTATGATGATAAGTCAGAAAGGAAATAATTTAGACAGAAATCAACTCATATGAGACAGTTAGGAAATGTTTTTAGGGGCTTTTGATAACTTGACTTCTTACATCAGGAATTGTGGTGATAATGAAGCATGCATGATAAAATGAAGATGTGATTGAATAAAATCTCTGGTCTTGGGAACCAAATCTCATTTTCTCCCCATTCATATACAGTCAGTTGCCCCTTGTTTAGCATTTTATTTTATTTCTTTGTACCCTTTATTTGGCTGTCCATTACCTGCAGAAGCATTCATGAGAAGAAGATTCTCTCCATGGAATGATAAGACAATATGTATTGTAAATGGCATGTTGGATTCACACTGTGAGATGTGTGATAGAGCACAATTTTGTCTCATTTCTTTCACCCACATGTGGATGTTAACATGCAGAGTAACATTACCCACCTTTTTTTAAAGTATTTATATGCAGTCAGAGTATCAGATGAGATTGTATTGGTTAACTCTACAATTCATGAATGAAATTGTCCTTAATTTAAAATGTACGCCTATACTAGCATGAGTCAAGCTCGAGTTTGCCCTTCAACTTCTTACACACCAAGTCGCCACAAGAGGAGTTATGAAGAAGATGAAGATATGGAGTTACACCCTTCTAAACAAAGAGAACAACACCTGGGTATCAGCTGAGATGCTAATCATCATTTTCTTTAAAATGCAATGTTTTTTCAGAATTCATATATGCCTGACCCAAATGCTTTAGAGTTTCATGCCTTAACAACTTAAGAAAAATGTTTTCATTTCCTTGATTTGTGAAATTACCAGTTGGAATTCAGTCAGATTTTGTGTCACATATGGGAAATTACCCAGGTAGCATGAGTGTCCTCTTACCCCAAAAGTCTTGAAGAGGTGTGGGACTGTCACTGTCTCATGGTGCTTATATCCTTGCAGAACTTATCTGCCCAGCCACAGCCGAAAGCAATGCTAGATTATATGGTACTTGGACTGGTACAGCAAGGGTTTTGGGTTTCCCATCATGCTATGCACAGGCAAAGAATTAGATTGAGGAGAGCAGTGTCAGAAGGAGGTACTTTTCCAACCTCACATACAGTGGTGCCTCGCATTACGACGTTAATTCGTTCCAGCAAAATCGTTGTAGAATGAAAATGTCGTAATACGAAATTAAAAAGCCCATAGAAACACATTAAAACCCGATTAATGCGTTCCTAGGTGCTTGAAACTCACCGTCCAGCGAAGAGCCTCCATAGCGTAGCCATTTTCGCTGCCTGTGCAGCGAGGAATCCATCCCAGAAAAGAGCGGGGAGCCATGTTTTTTACCCGGCGGCCATTTTGAAACCACCAATCAGCTGGCCGAAAATCATCGCTTTGCGAGAATCGGTTCCCGAAGCAGGGAACCGATCATCGCAGAGCGAAATTCCCCCATAGGAAACATTGTTTTGTGATCGCAAAACCTTCAACGTAAAGCGATTTCATTGTAAAACAGAGCGCTCATAATGCGAGGCACCACTGTACTCCATTAAAGCCTCTCCTGAACTGCTCACCTAAATGCACCAAGATTCTCCCCGCCCGGCATGGGTTGGATTGTGAGCTAGGAAGCTGAAGTAGGTATTGCTTAGAATTTTGTGCTCTAGCCAAGTTCATGATGCTCAGAAGAGACGGGGGTGGGAGTGGGGTGCTAGGTGGAGAAGAGAGCAGGAAATTTCTTTTTAGCCACCTCTTTTTAATTTTTTCTAGCTATAGGCCTATAATGTTGAAACACTAGCTATAATCAGTGAGCTGCTATGTTAATACAGCACCTGTGGTATTACATTGCTTGCTGGAGCTATAGGACTAAAACACCAAAGTGACAGACTTTCATCTTACAGTTTTTATATGTCAACATTTCAGCTGTTGCCTACATTTTTTTGTGGGATTCTGGAATAACAATAAAAATACAACACAGGTTTAACCTATCTGTGTTATATTTATTGTTTAAAAAATTTGAGATAAAGCTATTTTGTGGCAACCTAGAAAGAAAATAAGTCAAAAGTCTCCCTTAATGCATATTTTGTTCTTGTGGTTCAGCATATTTTACAAGAGCTAGTTAGTTCACAAGATTGGCATAAATGCAGTGGTTTCTGTCCCTCATGATGTACCAACTCACACAACTGGCACACAATGAGGGATACAAGTGGTGACTTCTTAACTAGCACAATTTGCCACTTAATTTATCAGCAAGATTCAGGGCAACTTTCAAACGAAGCCAAAAATTTATGGGAGATTTTGGAAATTTTCTTTTATTCAACTTGACAGGAAATATATCCGATATTCATGGGAGCGGAGAGCCAAAGAGATTAGAGACAGAAGCTTCTGCAAGACGTCAGATGATCTCCTTAAATTGCTCACCTCCTTTAGATTTAAATTTTCCACTCCCAGGAGAAAAAGGTCCTGCATGTCTTGTGAAGGTAATAAGCTGTGTACGCACTAGATATCAAAGTAATGTTACCTTTTGTATATGTTAATCTATGGATGAAAGTTAAAACCTGAACTTGGGGCATTTATGCTTAGTTACAGTGATCAAATTTAATCTATCTTATTAACTCACGCAGACATATATTGTATATTAGTAAGTTAGATGCAATAGTAACTTCAGAGCTTTACATAATCCTTAAAATAAGTTCTGTTATTCAAGGCAGCGGCAATCTATTTTATGCTGTGGTGGAGGACGCTGAGAAATTCCGTTTCTCTGTAGCTTCAGGTGTGGTCATATGCACATATACTTGAGAATTAGAGCATGTTTGCTTTATTCAGAGGTGGCTGCTTTCCATGAGTGAGAGAGCAGCATTGTCATTTGTTCAATTTACTTTGAGCCATATAGCCATGCAGTTAAAATATGGTGATGGTGTCATCATCTGGTGGCAAATTTAGCAGTGGATGCCATATATCTGTGCATGTGTGTATATATGTTTATGTATGCATGTGAATTTTTAAAAGCACGTCTGCTTTAAAACAAGGTTTGCATGGAGCATGTACCCTGTTTGAAAGTGAAATTGCTTGTGTAAAAGTGTACAGAGGGTTGCTACCACTACACTACTGAACTGTGGAAGGATGCACATTTCAGAGTTCATAATGTTCACCCTGGCTTATTTTTGTTTTTTTCCAGATGAAGATAAGAAGTTGTAGAAGTAGTTTGAATGTAATCACATATTTATTGCTACTTAGGACAAGAGTTAAGACTAGAGATGGGGGTATTCGTATACAAATATCCCTCCACAGGTGAAGATAACGAGGATCCAGCCCCATGGTGCCGGATGGTCCACTCACCGATCCGCTGCTGCCACGGGCTCCACGCCAGTGTCCTATCCCTCTGTTCCTGAAGATCAGTGAGCCATTCTTTTGACCTGGCAGAGAGGCTTGTCATCCCACCTTCTGCCAGGAGTGGCTAGCCAATCTTCAGCAATGTAGCAATAGGATGCTAGTGCGGAGTCCACAGCAGCAGCGGATTGGTGAGTGGACTGTCCGGCACCATGGGACCGGACGCTTGTTACCGTATTTTTTGCTCCATAAGACACACCTAATTTTTAGAGGAGGAACACAGGGAAAATATATTCTGAACCAAGTATCGTAATAAAATATTTAATAAACTATAACAGAATACAGTGGGGTCTTGACTTGAGAACTTAATCCGTATTGGAAGGCGGTTCTCAAGTCAAAAAGTCTGTAAGTCAAGTCTCCATTGACCTACAGTGCATTGAAAACCGATTAATCCCATAACAGGCTGTTTTTGTTCCATTTTGGGTTTTTTCTGGTCTGTAAGTCAAATCTCAGGCTGCAAGTCAAACCTAAATTTTGTGGCCAGAGAAGTCTGTAACTTAAAAAGTCTGTAAGTCAAGCCGTCTGTAAGTC